ATTTTTTTTTATTAAAAATTTTATAAAATTGGCTTCTAAAATAATTAAAATAATAGTTTAAAAATTTTAAAACCAACTTCTAAAATAATCAATGAAATTTAAAATTTATTTTTCTAACTTATTTATAATCAAAACAATACTCTTTTTCTTAAAATTTCAAGTTCATATTTGTGACAAACAAAACGTTTTTCGTGTCTAACAAAAAAACTTAAGATGAAGAAAGAATTCATAGTGACAAAATTAATACGGGGTAGATTTTTTCGTGGGTTTCATAAGGTTTATCTTAAGAAATAGCAACTCTATTTGTTAATCCTCCAGTTAATTTTTTTGAATAAATTGTTTAACCCATGATATTTCTTAAAATATAATAGTAAAAAACTTTTAAAAATGTTTATATTTCAATTCGTAAAATTTCAAATAATTTCATAAAAAATATATCGATAAAAAACAATTCCTAAAAATCAAATAATTTTATTTTCCAAAGATAAAAAAATATAGTCGCATTTGATATATTTCACAAAATTTATATTTGAAAATATAAAACAATCACATTTATTTAACAATTGAGTTTTGCTTGAATTGTCAAGTGAATCTCTTTTCAAAAAAGTAAGAAAAGAAATATAGTTACATTTTTTACATAAAATTTTAAAAAATTATCATGTAAAAACAATCACGTGTATTTTACATCCAAAATTTTTTCCACTTAATATGAATTTATTTTTAAACAGAAAAAACAAATATAGTTGCAAGGGTTTTTAAAAAGAAAAATTACAAAAACGTTTTAAAATAATCATTGGTATTTCACTTTAATTTGGACTTCATTGAAGTTACGACTACTACTTTTTGAAAAGCATAAAAAATATTCTCATGGGATATATACAACAAAACAATATTTAAAAAAACAAATCAAGTATTTTTCATACGTGAATTTCATCAAAATTCTACATAGATATGAAGTGGGGGATCGGAGGCGATGTCATCCTCATTTGAAATTTACCAGCGTGAACATTAGTTCTAGCTAATAGAGGAACACAAAACATTGGGGTGCCCCTAAATGCACAATTGGGATAAAATTATAATTATTATCACGGAGACCTAAGTTAGAAAAAAGGTTTATCCGAAAGGATCATTTTGAAAAATTACTCTACATTTAAATGTTGAAAATACCTTAATTTCCTCCACCAAAGATTCATTTAACAAACATTTTATACGTGTTATGATTATGTACTTTACTTTTAGACAAATGAATAATACGTATACTATGAGATTGAATCAATGCATATCATACCTAGAACTTTTAACTACTAGTCAAACAATACTTTATAAATTAGGAAATAAATTTCGAAAATTAATTTGAAATTTCCATAGGTCTTAAAATTTTTAAAGTCTCATATTTAATAAAATTTAATTTTCAAAATATTTTAATTGGTCAAAATGGTTTTTAACCCATTAACTCGAAAATAAAAATAAATCCAAAGTTTAATTCAAAAATCATATTTTCGAATTTTATAAAGTCCAAAATCATATTTTGGCACTTTCTTCAATTTTGGATAATTTTTTAAAATATATACACATATATTTTATTTTATTAATTAACAAAAACCCTAAGAGCAATTTGATATACAAAACTTATAATTTTCAAAACTTATATATTTCCAGTTGAGACACACAAACTATAGAGAGTGTTCTAGAGAAAATTATGCTAGTAATATTTCTCTAGAATATTCCTAAAATATAAAATATTTAGTGTAAAGTATTAAGATAATAAAACAAACTTTTCGTCTCTTAATAAAGAGAGAGGGCCGAAATTCTAAGTGTGTTAAAAGGGGTGGGATGATCTTCTATTTATAAGGAGCATAATCTACATTTCTATTCCTAATGGGAATGTTCCTTTTAATGTTTAGGAAAGAAATCAAATCTCATTCCTATTCCACTTAGGTATTTTCGAAATATCACTTCAAGGAAGCTCCCAATTTATTTTGTCAACTTTAGTTATCTATGTGTGTGTGTGTGTGTATAGTTTGGTTCCGATGAGAAAGAGATCTAATGAAAGAAATAAGAAAGCTTCACAACCGTTCGATATGCTTCACTAATTGCTGACTCTTAAGGGCCTTATAGGAATTTCAAAAATACAATAGTAGATCTCACGTGATTAGGATTCAATAATAGGTAACCGTTCCAATTACTCTTGCGCACAATCTTCTCTTCGATTTTTTTATGGCTGCTATCCTCTCTCTAGAGATGCTTTTCCCTCTTTTGATCCGGAATGGTCCTTAGATGAGTTTACACATCTCCCTAAGTATTCCAATGTGTGGTGGTGCCATTGGCGATAAGGCCTGGAAAATTCTTGATCTTTAAATTACATGCTATGGAGATCTTGAGGGTATGATGGTTTTGTTCTTATCATTTTACCTTTTGTTTTTTTTTTGCTTTTTTATTTGTGAAAAAAACTTACAGACCGGGTGGGAACGTGTGGATTGAAACTAATTTGGGATTGCATCATGAACTATTGGGGGTAGTGCGTTCATGAGTTTTTGGCTTTTACTTTTTTTTGCTAACTATTTTGCATTATTATGATACCTTTGAAAGTTGTTTTATGAATTTGGACTAATTTTTGTTTACCATTTTGTTGCTATCAAGGTTGTTTTTTTTAATTATTTGTCTGGTTTTTCTATGATAGTGCATAAGTAGAATCCGGGCAATGCATTTACATAAGAATGCAATGCATTATCTAAATCAAAGTAAAAGATAATGTATTCTGTTAGAATGCATTCTTATAATCAAAGTTGATATGCATCACATAGGAAAAGTTTTCTCACATGAATATGATGCATTTGTATATCTGGATAGTGCATTTTCTCTAAAAATTGATGTATTAAAAATATAATATGATACGGAGTACATTTTAGTATGGGTAAGAAACATATATCTTGAGTGATGTCAAATTTATAAGATTTAATTGTGTACTCAATAAGGACATCACCAATTAAAAGACGAACATCTTTGAAAAAACAATTTGTTGCTTATTAAATCAAATGATAGAACGGATATCCGATTTTTCGGATCGAATCACTGGATTATCCGAAAAGTTGAGTTTTTAGCTAAAATTTACAAAAAAAAAGGTAAAATAGCAAAATCAACCCAAAATATCAAATTCAATATAGATTTACTAAAAGAAAAATTCTACCACCTAGTAATGGCCTAATAAAAAAATGATACCAAATTTAATTTGGGAGTAACTTTGGTAATTTTGTCTAAATAAGCAAAAAAACACTATTAAAACAAAAAATTCTAAAATGCTAATGTAAAAAGTCCAAAATGGGTGATTTCCAAAATCAACATAAAATTTCATTTAAACATATAGTCATAATATATATCCATAAAATTCCAAAAACATGTAGCAGGTTTGGACACTCTTGGGGAAACAATTAATTTCTTTCCGGTTAGTTTCCAGGATGTGCCCATTTTTTGCTCTAAATGTAGCAGGTTTGGACACTCTTGCTATACTGGGAAAATCCCCTCCAACGAGCCCACCGGAAAAATCCTCACCGGTGGGAATTTTCAGACCGGAGGTAATGGATGCCTTGACCACTCCAAACACTAAGAGACAAAGGGGAAATGGGTCCTGGTAGAGCACAGAAAGAAAGCGCCAAAAGTGGGAAGGACCTCTTTTCAGAATGGGGGTTCGTGCAATAACATTATTATGCCCAAGCCATGTACTACTTTACAATTGGAAACAACAGATCATGTGGACTCCTCCAAGGCCCACGCTGCAGGCACCTCACAGGTTCTTTCCCCTGTCCCCACACCTAGGCCCTCCCCTACCCATTCTTTGGCCCCATCCTTGGTGATAGTCACCGATCCCATCTCCCCCTTGGAAGACCATTTTCTCAAGAAGTATATGCATAAAGGAAGTAAGGATGACATGGTCGTATCCAAGGGAAACAGAGCCAGTGATGAATTCTTACAGCAAGTACTTGGTTTGAAGGAATCTAATCTTGAAGACATCAATGAAATTACTACTCATTCAGATCTTGATGAACATGAGGTTATGGATCAGTCCCCTCTTGAACCATTTGAACTCAATACACCAAAACCTGGGAGCCCAGGCCTTCTCATTACTAGAGGAAGGGGGTATGCACACAATTTTGTTAAGCTATCATGCCAGACTAGGGGCATGAAAGCAGCGCTAGATGAACCCCCTCCAGGCCCC